GTACTTACTTGATTCATGTTGTTCTGGGTTTGTTCCCTCATGGTTGAATACACTTATTGTCACTTGCTTTGGATAAAAGCATCAGCTAAATGAAATGTAATATAATGTAATAGCTTTCATAAACATACTCATCAGAATAGGTAAAATGATTTTGTCAGTCACTAAGACTCTTGTCCTCCTCAGAGACTGTAACATCCACACCCAGCTCCACAGGATCCTCTAAGAAAGGCGATGTTATGTTTCAAAGAAATTGATTGGTCAGTGGAGTGAGATTTTATATTGCTTGATCTCTTGTCTCCAACTTAACCTTAAAGAAGGTTAACCGTTCAGCCTGAGTTACCAAGGTGATTTACCCCTATACAAAGTGAATGACTTTCGTAGGACTGAAAACCCTGAAGTAAACCTAAAGTTACCCTGATAACCGCAAATCCTGCTTCATAGTTCAAGCCTGAGGAGCAGGAAAGACCTGAACACATAACCCACCAACGGTGAACATAACTATCAGGCCTCATTCTAGGTAAATAGCCTTAAAAGAAACAGAAATTACCACACAATGTGGAACTACCTATATTTCACGAAACAATCGTTATTATTGGTAGTGCTGGTACATTTAATTGGCTGACAAAATCTTCCCTGTTTTAGCGATGCACAGGAATTTTTCGGTGAACAGGACTGCTGCAACATTAGCATCTCTTCCACCTAACGTCTTGTAAGTACAGTTCTGTCAAAACCTGGGATTGAGCCAGGGATCAAACTGTGCTGTTTTGGCAGAATAAACTGCTGTTAAGGAGGTCATGTGGTGTGGATCACAGGAATATTTTGGTAAACATTTCAACATAATACGGCTGTTGCAATGTTACCATTTCCCGCATATGACTTCAAAGTCTTCTTGGCACAGGTCATTGGCTGCAGAAACCCTGCCCACTAGCTTTTTTCGGTTCAATAAACTTCTGTTAGGAGCCTACACAATGCAAAAGGAACTTTTTGGGAAACACAAATGGATGGCATAACTAATAATTTCTTCTCCCTACTGTCAAATTATGAGCTACCGGGATTGAACCAGGGACCTTAAGTATAACACTCTCCCATCTGAGCAATTTTGCAACAATCTTGTGTTCGGAAGGCTCTGTGTTGTGAAACAAAGTAAACTTTGGGAGACATCTTACAAACATAATTGAAGTGCTACACCATCTCTTACACATGACATTGAAGTGTTGTTGGTACAGGTCGTTGGCTGGAGAAGCTCTCCGAGCTGAGGTGTTTTGGCATAATAAACCTGTATCAGGGAGGCTGTGAAACACAGGAAATTTAGTGGAACAAAACATTATTTGAGTGCTGATATGTTAGTTTCTCTCACACCTGAAGTTGAAGCCTTTTTAGGAGAGAGCCCCAAACCTGCATTCAGGAGGCTACACGGTGCAAAATAGAGCAACTTTGTATAAAACACAACAGGACTTCATTAGAGTCTCTTCTGCCGAACGGGAAAGTCTTGTGATTAAAAATGATTAGAGGCCGAACCCCAAGATTGGACCAAAAATTATTAGATCTTCAGTCTAACACTCTGCCAACTGAGCTATTTCCACACAATAAAATTGTGTTAGGCTACACCATCTCTCACACATGATGTTAAAGTGTTGTTGGTACTGGTCCTCAGCAGGGAGAGTTTCTCCAGCCGAGGTATTTATTGTGTATTTCGACACAATAAACATGTATTAGGGAGGCTGCATGGTGGGAAACACTGGTCGTCTTCTAACCAGAAGGTTGGCGTTTCGACCCCAGTCTTCCCCGTCTGCATGTTGAAGTGAACTTGGGCAAGATACTGAACTGATACTGCCCCTCATAGAAAAAGCATGCTGCCCATAGATGTACTGTATGAACTTGTGTGCATGGGTGAATGGCAAAAAACTGTACTGTACAACATTACCATCTCCCGCACATGACCTTGAAGTCTTCTTGGCACAGGTCATTGGCTGCCAAAACCCATGATAAACTGCTGTTAGGGAGGCTACACGGTACGAAACACTATAACTTTTTGGGATACATAATAAGACTGCTTCATCATTAGGGTCTGTTGTTCCTAACATCGAAGTCTTGTGAGTATAAATTATTAGCGAAACCCGGGATTCAACCAGGGACCTTATGATCTTTAGTTTAATAATCTCCCAAGCTATTTCGGTGCAATACAATTGTGTTAAATGGGCTACGTGGTTCGAAACGCAAGACATTTTGACATTTTCCAAACATAATTGGAATTCCTGTTGAGGGAATTCAGCAGAATAAACCTGTATTTGGGAGGCTACACCGTGCAAAACACAGCAACTTTTTATTAAACACAACAGCACTGCTTGAACATTATGGTCTCTTCTTCCTAACGTCAAAGTCTTGTAATTACAACTTATGAGCTGCTGAAACACAGGAATGAACAAGGGACCATCACATCTTTAGTAAAACGCTTTCCCGATTGAGATATTTCAGCACAGTAAACCTGATGGGAGGCTTTATAATGAGAAACACAGGAAATTAAGGGGAACAACTCACAAAATGAAGCGAAATGTCTTTCGCCTGACATTGACCTCTTGTCGCACATTTAAGCTGAAAACCAGGATTGGACTAAAGGCCGTTAGATCTAAAGTCTAAAGATCTCCCAACTGTGCTATTTTAGCACAATAAACTACTGTTAAGAAGGTAATTTGGTGCAAAACACAGGACATTTTTGGCAAATATTTCAAGAAACATAATACTGTTTCCATCTCCCTCACATGATGTCAAAGTCTTCTTGGCACAGGTCTTACGCCAACAAAACCCTGCTAACTAAACTATTTTAGCACAGTAAACATCTGATAATTAGGCTACATGGTGTGAAACACAGGAACTCTTTGGTAATTATAGGAATGCTGCAATGTTTGCATCCCTGCCGTCTGACATCCAAGTCTTGTTAGTGCAGGTCATTGTCTGCTGAAACCCTGCCACCTGAGCTATTTTGGCATAATAATCTGCTCTTAGGAAGGCTACACGGTGCAAAACACAGGAAGTTTATGGTAAACATTTCATAAAACATAATCATGGTTTGTGGATGAGAACATATTAAAGGGATACTCACCACTCTGCCGATGGAGGAGAGGGGGAGGTGTTTGAGTTTTTATTGTGTGCGCATGTGAACATGACTCCAGGCAGGCGGATAACGATGGACTTTTAGGCTAAAAACATGATGTAAATGATGCAGTTTCAAGTTGAATTTTAATGTCTGGGTTGATGGACACTTGGATGACACTAAACAAGTTTATTTTTTACCTTTAAAGAAGGAGTCACCCGTTACTTTAGTTGTATTGAATTTAGCTGCAACGCTGTTTACCCCTGAAAATCCAAAAGTGTTTTGTGGATTCAAACACTTCACCCACCCCCCCATTTGCATAGTGGTGAGTAGATAATGAGTGAATTTTAATTTTTGGGTGAACTATCCCCCAGTGTCAAAACACCACAAACAGAATAGAGATCCACCTGCATCAGGTGACTAGTGCACATAGATCTGACACTTTATTTGCCCACCACAAATGATCATTTATTAGCCTCGGATGTAAATGATGGGGTATTTACTCATGCCATATACCTCTTCCTATACAAATTAGAGAATGCCAAATTGTATGTTGGTGAGATTTGCAGTCTTTTATTAAAACATTTAAAAATAGTGATTATGGCTCAAAGTACTGCATGTTTGTTGTTCAGATATAGGCCCATGTGTGTGATGGACAGCCAGTGGCCAGCCAATATGATCCTTGCCTTCTTAAGGCATCCTAGTTTTATGAAGGCCTAACAATAGCAACACTTGCACCCCCAGGATAATGAATTTTCTGCAGTCAGATCAATTGGTCAACAATGAGGATCTGCAACTACACAGTGCATACATCACATCTGAGATTGAAAATAGTGCAGATGAAGTGATGCACATGATATATACTGTGAAGTGCCATGTATTAATCTTTATGTTACTTCAGGAAATCGTGTTCAACCAATCAAACTAGCCTATCTGAAAATATAAGGTAATCCTGGGTCTGCGTATACATTTAATAAAGCCACGAGGGCAGAAATCTTAGTTGATTCTTTTCCCATATAGATTAGAGGGGATGTACCTTCATGTGATTCTCATTAGTCTTATGGTCAAGGAAGTTGGCAGAACTGTGTTGAATGTATCTCTTAAAAGAAGTGCATAACCTTAATAACTGTTATATTCCAGGCTTTCCAGCTGTAATGCTCCCAGCCTGCATCTCATGCTGCAGTAGTATCCAGGTGAAACAGTAGAGGGCTGGTCTCAGTATCACAAACACCAGTCAGACCAATGAAATGCATGATGCTCTGTCATACATGGACAATGCATGTGCACGTTCTAACCAATAATTACAATGTGTCTCAGTGGGACCCTCACTGAATTGAATGTTTGCATCCAAACTGAGGCCCTCTTTTTGTTTTCTTAACAGTGCGGATTCAACCGAGCCTGCTGTCGGAGGCGGGCTACACTATGCTAAGAGTGCTCTAATAAGCACCCGACACATCCAATCCAAAAACAAGTCGTCGTTCAAATCGACCAATGGGAGCAGAGAGGCGCCGCGTTGCTCCTCTCAGGGCCCCGCGGGGGCGGTGCTTGCCGTTGAGGTCCCACCCCTCAAAGCCGCGCGTTTGGTTGCACACAGGCTGCAGTTTCAGTTTGTTTTATTCACCATTTTGTGTAGCTGAAGGTACAAAATTAAGAATATTTGCGTTTGGAGGACAAGCCGCTGTCGTCCTTTTTATTTTCAGGCGCTAGCTCGGACGGTGGAGTCGTGCGTCAGTCTCGCTCCCCTCGGTGTTTTGCAGAGCGGGAATCTATATTTCTTTCCCCCCCCTGTGCTTTTTTTCTTCTCCCCCCTTTCTTACATCCTTAACCTCTACAGTATTCCTGCAAAATGTCAAGACCCGTGAGGTAGGTGTGCTAAATGTGTCCTCTGCCTCTCCCGCACCTTAATATCGACACCGTGCTGCTGCACGCGTCGCAGTTAACGTGCACGCCTCGGCCGTGCTGTGTTTTATGAGCTGGGAATTTGTTTATTTCATGAAAAAATAATGGCACCGTGAGCGCGTGTGAGTGTGTGTGTGTGAGTGAGTGCGCTGCCGTGTGTGCAGCCTCCCTCTCTAACATGGATCCCAGTGGCGGGGACTGTTCGCCATGTCTCGTGGAGAAACGCGCCGTGTCGTGTCTCCAACGCAGTACATGGCTCCGGGATGTGCAGTGGTGGCTGCTGCGTAGGCCGAGCGGAAAATTAGTCGGTTTGATTTCAGCAGCTACGTTTTGCGGCTCCGCTTTAACCAGGCCTGCTGGTGGGGTTTCTCCCTCACACGGAGAATGAGAATATGGCCACCCCATTCATCCAGGGGGGAGCTCTGTAACGCTAGTGCTCCCCCACCTAAAGGGGAGAAAACCACCGGAGGGAGGTGGTGGTGGTGGTCGGCCTCGGGATTTGAGCGTGTTACCGCGCAGACTGGGCACGTCGTGCTCCAGCCTCCATTACGCCGCAGTTTAACCGTGTCTGTAGTTTTCTGGAGCGACGGAAATAAGAGAGGAGGAGAAGACGAGGGAGAGCGGATCTCGGTTTTCAGCAGTGAATTAACGCTGATGTCAGAGGAAGGCGGAGAACTACAAAAAAAGTCCCCCCCTCCGTGATTAAAACGCACGGGGCGTCTTCAGGCCATTTTAATCCAAATCAAAATGGCCTTTAACTTGATTAGAAGTGGATTTATACAGTCACATCTAACGTAAACGTGATCCTGGAAATCTCGCGATTGTTTGTGTCCGAAAGCCTCGTCCAAGTTGCAGGGCCCAGTTCTTCGTTCTTGAATTGAAATGCATTGTGTGGACTTGCATGTACATGGTGTGTGTAATATTACATACACGTGTTGTGTATGTAATATTGTGAAATGAGATGTGAGTAATATATCAGAATTACAATAAGGGTCACCAGCGTTACAGGAATGATGCGATTCTGAGTAAAAAATGATATCGCGATACCTACGTGCATGATGTGCAACAGTAATACCATGTTATCCTAACCTGTTATAGGGGAAGCCTGTTGAGTATTCATACTCTTTATTAAACTTTATTAATGTAAAAGTGCTCATTAACCTACGAATCCCACAAATGTTTGTATAGTTGCTTTCAAACATGCAATGAACTCCACAGATCCACCGTATTTTCTCCGGAGGACAATGCAAATGTCCAAGTAAGAGGCTTTGCAGTTTCTGCGGACTTTCTCCGCCTGGCCTCCAAGGATAAAGTCTGTAGAAATTTAAGAGATTTCGATTTGTGAACAGAGCAGGCGATGACACAGAAAGAGAACGAATATCTCCCCTTGCAAAGTGGTGTTATATGAAGAAGACACCGAAGAGAGTTTGTGGCGATGAGAGCTGATGCCGGAGTCTGTGTGTTGTTCATGTGATCTCCGCAGCAGACTTTATACGTCACTTCCTGCCTCTGTCTGCTGCACCCGGCTGCTCCCCCCTCTTGACTGAATAATGTGGAGGATTTGATGCATCTGTGCAGAGAACCTACTGCTGTGTTGTTCATGTGTGAAAGGAAAACTGTGGGTAAACTCCGTAGCCAGTTCTCAATTGCCGATTTCTTTGGCTGAACGTGTCCGAGCAGGAGAGAAAACTAACCGAGCCGGACCCAAACCCAACAGGCGTTCTACAGATTTTTTTCAGTTCTGAGTTTGTGTTTAGTAACACTGAGGGCAGAATATTATGTTTTAGAGAACTGTTTTGTATTTTGTGAAATTCCAAAGGAGATATGTAGAATTAAATGAATTTGAAATTATATCACAAATTTTACCTACGAATTTCACAAATGGAGGTTTTAACTCACGCAATCATGAATTCAAGGAATCGCTGCAAAATTTAGGAATTTCTGCTGGTGAGTTTTAGGGTTTATCATTTACCTTGGGCTTTACAAGGTAGTATTCAGACAGACACTTGAAATGACACCTTCCCAAAGTTGTCTTAATTAGGGACACACTGATCGGACTTTTTTCCAGTACAGAATAGTACCTACAGTACCTAAAAGCTCTTGTCACATTCATTTCTTATTCAACAGCTTATATTGCACAGAAACTGATACATTTTAATCTAACCATTGTAATGTTATTCAGTCCAACCAGGCTCTTCTAGAAATTTGAGGTCTATCTTTCAGCACAGTTTCAATGCTTATTTGTCAAATATGCCAACAATATAAATGTTTGCAGTACTTTCTGTAGTATACCCGTTTCAAAATAAAAGCACTCCAATGTTTCTGTTGACTGAATCCATTCATTCATTTGTTTGAATGGTTTTCTTGAGGAATGGCTTCATACTATATACTACATAGGGCTACAACCATGACGCGCAGCAGGTATGTGGCGCAACAGCAGCTGGTGTGGCTCGGGCGTTAGAGATCATTGCAGGTGATAGGTCAGTTTTGGTGGTGAGCTTTTAGTGTGTGTATGTACAGGACTCTGGTGTGTGGAATTCACTCTGACAAAACTGGCCATACTAAACACCAGGGGTTGCTGTGACACTAAAAACTGAGTCTGCAAACCTTTTCTAATGGAATCAATGTAAAAGGGAGACAGTTAATTATGTTGTTAGATAAATAAAGTAACTTTTAATTTAGTTTGGTCCGGTTTGGCCTCTATCTGTATGGAAGAGAAGGTATCTGTGCCAATATTATGTTTAATGGATCCGATCGGGGTATCGCTTTATCATTTACTCCTGTGTCAACATTGTTTCCTCTAAATCACCTGAGTTCTGTATGAATGGCAGCGTATAGAAGAGCACTCTTCTCTTCTCACTTGGTCGACCATTTTGAACAAGTGCCACTGGTTTGGAACAGCTGTTTAAAGTTTTGAACCAGTCATGATGATTATCTCTACATGAACATGCACTTTGGTGCACAGTACAGCGAACCACCATCTAACGCCTCAACCGGCAGAGACATCTTGCCGCTTTGCTTCATGTCAGTGTGAGGGATGGTGTTTTCCAAACCAAACTTTCATTCTTATCAATCATTCTTTATACATTTTTTGAACCATTATCTTTGGCATTTGAAGCATTCAAGAAACAAAATACATATAAATCTTTTTAAAATATCACAAAATTCACACTACCCAGTCTTTAACAAAAAGAAAAAAATGCAGGAGTTTCCACTGTAAAAATTTGCTATTAAAATTTTGAACCTGCTATTGCCTTGCTGTTCTGTACAATATAATAAGGAACAAGGGAACAGGACAATTGTAGGGGATTTATTTTGCAACACTTACTGTAAAAACATTTCAATTATTTCCTTATACAGCCACTTTCAGACATGCACTGAACTCTGCAGATCCTCCGTATTTTCTCCGGAGGAGGTGCGTGTGAACGCGAACATCCTAGTGAGAGGCTCCATGCTTTCTGCTTTAGAAAGTGAGGAGAATTCCATGTGAGAACACAGCAGGGCATCCCGCCGCTGGATTCCCCGTGAGGGGAGTGGGTGGACGGGTGTCTCTGCCTGCTGCACCCGACTGCTCCACCTCTCGTCTGATTAATGTGGATGATTTGTTACTCTTGTGAAAGCGTCTGTGCACAGAACCAGTACCGCTGCATTGTGCATGTGTGAAAGGCAAAGTGCAGGTAAAGTCCGGACAGATTCTCTGGACTTTACCCGTAGGTCATGTCTGAAAATGGCCTAAAACTTTAGGTCAATATTTACATGATTAACAAGCCCGGCACGGTTGATTTTAGGGATGTCATTATTATTAATATTAGTATTATTATGTTGTTATTCGTCCTTGCCTGAGGACAACCTAAATAAAGAAGCAGTCCACATATTTTGGCCAGGATGGAAACACTAAATCAAGCACATCCTTCAAGGCACTGAGTGTGTAGGTTGTGTCCAACACTTCTATCACCTGATGCCAGTCACAGCCATAGACTTTAAATACAGATTGACTGCATATGTTCAATTCCTCCTACACAAAAATTAAGTTAAGATATCTTAAATACCAGTGCCACCATCTTGCGTATTTGACATCATTTGGAGTCATGCTTGACCAATCGTGGGTGGGTCTCAGTTGTCAATCATGATGTTTCACCCCATTTGTATTGCACTAAATTACTAATTGAAGCCAAACATATCAGAAACAAGAGCACTTGAACATAGATCAGTATGAAAGGAATTGCTAATATGACAGTACCATCTTTAGACAAATGTTTTTAATATGTACTTTGACCCTGTAGTTTGGTCCATGTTTCATCCACTTACACGAACAAGGCAGGATTTATACTCCTACAGCAGCCAACCACTAGGGGATTGTGAAGAACATTTTGCCTTCACCTTTGTCTCTAAATATACAGTATATGGTCTAAACACATCAATTAACAGATGAACCCAGCTGCTCTGAACTTTTATCTTCATACCAAATAGATAGATATTGAATTGATCCTGAATGAGTCAAAATGAGTCAATGAGTACACTGTGAAATGTTGGGATCCCACATCCACAGAATTTTTTTTTTATTTTGAAATGGCATGTGAAACGATCAGCCCCCGTCCAGACAAGCTTTAGTTCCCTTTCAGAAATAAGCTGTCACTACTAACATGCCTTAAAACGTTTCACGTGACCATTTGCATGTGCATGTAGCATTAGAAAGTGTAGAATTTATTTAACTGCACAAAAGCAGCAAGCAAACACAAGGTCAGCAACACAAATAATTCATTATCTATGTTGCCTTCATGAGTGGAAAGTTGAGAATGGCACCGTTTGTTTTCTTCTAGAAATGGGTTACGTGGTAGGAGTGTGACAAATCAGGGATGAAAACATCCTAACAGGAAGTGAACATGGATGTCTGACAAGAACAACTGGTCAATTAAGTGGCTCTGCATAACCTTTTGCTGCCCATGACCCATGATGAGACTCTGTGTCTTATATCGATCTCCCAAAGAATGATTTTACTGCCCACAGTCTGGTGACTCATTAAAATGGAAATGGTTGGAAAAATACTATCTTGCTCTCTCTGGTATTCTTGAAGTGTGAATGATGATGTGTGGAAAGCTTGGCATGCATGTCACTGGCTCGTGTTTGGGGCTTTTACTGCTGTGTGGGCCGGCTGTTGTAATCTAAGTATTTGTAAAGGTTTATGGCACTGTTGACCACTTCTTCCGTCCCTTTCCACCGCACACTGCACTGCTCCAGTGTGGTTTTTATCCACAGGTACTGTTTTCCATGCAGATCTTGCTGATGATTAGCAGTTGTTCAGTGTGAACACTGCACTGGATGCAATTGTGTTCAGAAGATGCATTTAAATTTATTTAACCCTCTGTTTACTTCGTAATCCTTATATGGTTTGTGTCTACAGGGTAATTTTCAAATACCTTCGACTTTCATTGAGAAGTAGGACATTTTTTTCACAGTGGATTTAACGTGAACAGTTGCTCAGGTCTGTGTCAGGTGCCAGGCAGATTTCTGTAGGTGTGTGTTACCTGAACTATAGTTGGCCATGTCATCTGAGGCTTCTCTCGTAACTTTGCCAAATTAGCTGTTGAAACTGAAGAAGGTGGATCAGTGTCCAGCTCAGTGCCCCAGCTGGAGGCTGTTTGTGGCCTCGCAAACCAAATAATACAAACCAAGCATTAAATATACAGCTGAAAAAATGCTCCCTGTTGAATTTACATCTTGGTAGCCTTTACCCCTGTCTTTTAGCATACATTAACGTGTCTAATAACAGACATGGTTAGTGAAGCTATTTTGTTAAAAATATAATCTAATGCACCATTTGTTCTTCTTCACAGGAACAGGAAAGTGGTGAACTACTCACAATTCAACGAGTCTGACGATGCAGGTAAGAGAGGTTTCATGTGTGTTGGTAATGTAGTGTGTGTATGCAGTAACTGCAGTGGGAACAACAGATAGAATCCTGATGATAATTAAATTCCTGGCAGAATAAAGCAATTAATCACTGTGAAAATCCTGTATCACTATACACTGGTCCTGATCATTGATTATCACCATCGTCCATAGATAATTAAGCTTTATCTCCAACAGTAGAAACAATACAGCAGAATCTCTTGGCAACTAAGACCTGCAACGTACTTGCTGTTTAAAGGGAAAGTTCACAGAGAAAAAAAATCACCCATTATCTACTCACCACTATGGTGATGGAGGGGTGGGTGAAGCGTTTGAGTCCACAAAACCCTTTAGGATTTTCAGGGGTCAACAATGTTGCAGCCAAGGCTTTTTTTTATTGTACTAAAACAATAAAAAAAATTAAAAAAACATTACATGCCTCCATACTGCTCGTTTGGTGTTATCCACGTGGCCGCAAGCCTCAACTTTTATGTTCAACGCTTTCTTAAACGAGTAAAATCTCTTTTCATAGCTATGCATTCATGACATAGCGGCTCTTGCTTACCAGAAACTAGTTGATGCCACTCTTGAACCAGTTTTTCTGGCCGAGAGCCAGTTCTTTGGCCGTAAAACACAAAAAACTGGTAGGACTGTGGAGGGAGCAAATCCAGAAAGGAGATTTTGACACAGTACAAACCAACCAGTGGCAGCGGCGGTAATCATTTTACTGTATTGGACCTGGGTGGAAACCCTGTATTCACACTTTTTGTTGGAACTTTCTTGAAACTAATTCGACAAACCTCCATGAATATTAAAGTATCTTATCTTAGCTTTATTGTCCATTTGTCTGTGTGTGAGTGTTACCTCCGCTCTCAGGCTGAAAGGGGGGAGATGAGAGAAGCTGCATGACATGGCAGATAAAAGGAACAGCTTTAGTAGTTCCTCAGATTTTTGGTTGCATGGGCTAGTCCAATAATGTATATGGAGAGGCAGTCTGAACAAGACCCAAGTCTCTAATCCAACCGGATTACTGGACAAATACTAATGCTTTTGAGGACCAGTAATGGGTCAAAACTTCACATTAGGCAAATAAAGTTTCACTGTGTCTTAGCATATCTATTGTGTCCAGTTTTATGCACGTCTCTGTAATGTAGTCGTCGTGTTGGTCACAGTTGTTCAACCACAATTCGTCACATAGACCCCCCCCTTTCAGTGACAATAGAGGACAATAGCGGATATCCCATAATCACCATTGCAAATCAAAGACATGTCTAGAGACTTGAACAAAAACCATTTGTCTGTGAACTTGTCCTTGTTGGGTTCATGCGAGTGAAAGATGGAATCTTGTCCTTTCTCCATAGATGAGGAGTATGGTGATAATAAGCCGAAGAAGGTGCGCACAGCCCCTCGTGAGCCCAAGCACAAGCGCTCAAAGAACTCGCAGGATGACAGGTGAGTCCCTGGTGGAGGCTGCTACAACTGTGTATAACAGTTTCATATAGTACATTTACTGCTGCGACACATTTGATAAATTGGCTGATTGTATACTTATGTTTTATTTACATACACACACAATCCATAGAACCCATTCACAAATGTTGCACAGATATAAATCAATCCTTTGCCATCTGTGGTCTAAGTATATCAACTCTTGTTGAGAGGAGCAGATGTGGCCGTGAGGATGCAGAGTACAGCAGCTCCTGTGTGAGCAGCCAGATGTCCTGAAACGTGTCGGACAGAGCGGGGCATGAAATGAGCTTCACTTTATTCATCATGGGTTCAACCTGTGATATACTACCTCTATAAAATCATTAACACTGGGTTGTGTGAATGCTAGAAACTGCTAGAAAGATGACATTATCTCCATTGGCATCTGGTAATGCTCATTGTACCAATAGTTACAGTCGCACTTCTCCATAGTTAATTCTCCATGAAAGAGGGGGGCTGCGCTGACTCTTAACTTATGTGTTTGTAGTTTGTGTTTGCTCTTACTTTATTTTCTTTGGTTAAGTTATCCCAACTCTCTGACCCTAAAAATGTGGAGAATTGGCTAAGGAGCTGACCCACAGTTTTCCTTTCACACATGCATAACACAGCGGTTCTCTGCACAGATGCGTTCACAACAGCATCAAATGCGCTGCGTTATTAAAGCAACGGTGGAGCAGCCAGGTGCAGCAGACAGTGTAGATCACGTGATTTTCTTTACAACACACCACAAACTCTCTTGACATCTTCGTCTGTGTCTTCTATGTGTGTGACACCTCTTTTTCACCAGGAGATATTTGTTTTCTTGTTTGTTTGGTTTTTTTTTTATTGTGGTCTGTCGCACGTTCGAAGAATCATAACACAGTCACAAAACACAGGAACTGCAGAGTTCAGTGCATGTCTGAAAGCAGCTATATTGTAGACAGTACAAAGTTGATCAATTTTACTCTCTTACTTTGACAACAACAAATGGACATGCCCGGAGTCAACTTGCCAATCTGTCTTCATATTGTGCAGCATAAGTCCTCCCCATTATAAAGACTTCCTGAGTGATAATTGTGTGGTGTGTCGCACCTGACAGAACCAATATGAGGGAATTCATTTTGTTCAGTGTATTTGGGGGAAAAAACCCTGGGGGCACAAATCAACTATTGCATGTTATTGTTCCAGATAACTGCTGGTAAAATCTGTGCCTTGATCCTGGTCTCCAGGCTACACTTCCTCCAGTTACTAAGACTTTGATTTTGTCTATTCTTTGTTCCAGTGAGGAGTCTGATGAAAAGCTCTCTAAATCCAAAAATGATTCAGCAGGTAAGTGTGTTTGTTTTCTGATTTAGACGAGGAGGTTGGCTCAGGCACTCTGTGAAAACCACGGGCTTTTTATTAAGTGCTATACAAATACAGTTATTATTAATTGCAACTGATCAGCTCACTGACTTACCTGTTTCGCTGCTGCAGATGACTTTGGCAGCGAGGAAGAAGACAACGACTTTGGAGAGGAGGAGGATGAAGATGGAGGAAGCGACTATGAAGAAAAAAAAGGGAAAAAGGGAAAGAAAGCCAAGGTGGAGAAGCCCCCCAAGAGAGGGCCAAAGAGGAAACGGGCTACAGGTAACAATCCAGGTTATTCCTTCTACATAGTGACATGTTTTTTTTAAATTATGGATAAATTCTTTATTAAGAGAATTTGCGTTGATGCGCGTGCACATGCCCGGGTTATGGTTCATTGCATTTTTACCGTCCATGCAGGTAGTCAGACCTCATAGTCTCAGCTGCAGTTGCAGCAGCAATGCAGTTCCTTCCCTCATGCAAGAACTTATCTTTTACTCTTCAGTCTATGTGCCTTTCACTGGTAATCTGTTGTGCGTCAGAGAAACGTTTGAGCACATCTATGTGCACCCCCGTTACCCCCATAGATTTAATAAGGAAAGGCTGCGAATCCAGATCCACCACAAGACACTTAAATTTTCAAATTAAATCAAAACGAAATTTTTATTGCCCTGCAGGTGGACAAATCGAATAATCTTTTGTCGATTAGACCTCCTTGTGATGTGATGATTTTAGAGCGAGAGGCTGTGTGAAGTATAGGAATAAACACGCAGCCAGACACTGGTGGTGCTTGAATAGGATGAAGAGAATATAATGATGAGTGGCTCGACCAAGGCTCTGGATAGAAAGACTAGAGATGTATGGGATGGAGGAGAGTCGCAGTGAATCACTGACAGTGATAGAGAGAAGAATAGATTAAAAAATTGACAGTGGAAACATTGAAATTACAGCAGTTGCATTAAGTTCAATAACAACACATGATTAAAAGTCCACACTATCTTGACCATTTAAATGTTATAATTGAACTCCAGGCCAGAATTAGTTCAGATTTTAATAACATATACCTTTTAATGTCCATCTCTTTCAGCAACCTGCTTCAGGTGGTTTTAATTTGTTCAGCCTAAAGGGACGTAAAGTAGCTTTGAGTAGCACTGTTAATGTAGAGTAAAGTAAAAGTTGCATTGAATTCCGATTCGAGTTACATGGCTGTTCAAACTGAGGATGCATTTAAAAAAAAATCGTATCTCTATCTGATTTAGAGCCACATATGAAAGTGGCCACTTGGGCCCGTTGTGTGAATGTAGTGTTGGAGAAGCGTGTCCACAACCTGGTTGTCACACACAATCGACAACTATCAAAATACTTGTTAGAGTTCACGTCGGAATATTAAGCAATATCCTAAGTGTATGGATGGGGTATTGCAGCATTTTATCAAACCCAATTTATTTCAAATCCCTAAAGCGCAGATCACACTACACAATTGTTTGCCTGATATACCAGTCGCAGACAAGTTTTGCAAGTGAACTACAAAATCCACTGATTGGCAATTGATTGGGAATCTTGACCTGCAATGTGTGAACTCCGATCAGATTTTCCACCTTGACAGAAAAATGAGGCCTGAGCTGCATTCTGTTCCTTACAACTGTTGTCCATTGAAGAGTTTCACCCCCTCCAGTTTGATGTATAATTCTGTGAGTGGGATGACACAGAAAGAGTTGGACGATTATTCAGACTCGCTCTGTCTTGTGTGTGTTTTTGTGATCTAAACGTAGTTTCGGGTCCCAGTGTTTCTCCTGGTGAAGGATTGTGTTGCGTGTGTGCGTTGTCAGTTGTGCAGAATGAACTCAAAACTACTGATCACGACACAGCAAGTCATTTAGTTTGAACTGCACAGCAATCAGACGACGTGTAGTGTGAACTTGGCTTAAGTGAATCTTTTTAAGTAGTTTGTTAGGTGGACAAAGATGTCAAATGTAAAGATGTACTGTATATACATTATACAGAGCTCATAAATGTTGATGGCATCTCATCTTTTGTGATTAATCTAGTGTCATTTTTCTGTCTGCACTCATCAGTGATAACAATTGTCACCCTTTTTTGAGTTTTTTTGTTATTTGGAGCATCAGAACATTTTCTTGGATGCTTTTTAGGTGTTATCCCACCAAAGGCTCCTCCATCCTGTAATCACTACAGCCGCTTCCCTTCTCAGCTCTGGCAAACTTCCTGGTTGATGTAAAACACATTGCTGTTTTTGTGCAACACAGGAATGTCACCACAGACAGATAACCTGTGAAATACAGAGAGATTTACTAATATGTTCATTTATATGTACGAGTCACTATGGTCTGGCTCCTCTGGTAGTGATTAGAGTTAAGTCTAAGATGGCTTTCAGAAATGCACTGCACTCAAGAGATCCTCTGCAGTTTCTCCAGCAGAGTGCATTTGTGAATTTCTGCTGACTTTCTCTGCCTGTACCCCTAGTATAAAGTCTGCCGAAAGCCCTGGGGAGCCCTTTTGAGAACACAGCAGGGGTCCCACACAGGATTCATCATGAGTGAGTGGGGAGTTGGTGACGCTTCTAACACGCAACAGATGCCAAAACGAAAAAAAAACCTCAGGATGAAAGGCAGGACACTACACTTAGAAGACCCTGACAAAGATGTTAAGAGAGTTTGTGGCGATAAGAGCTGATGCCAGAGTCTGTGCTGTAAACAAAAATATGTGATCTCTGCAACGGAACTACGGCGTTACAGCCTGCTTCTGTCTATCCCACCACTCTTCAATCGTGCGAAGGTTTTGTTGCTGTCGTTAACGTGTCTGAGTCGAAATTCTGTCAGAAGGAATTTCCATGAGTTACCTACAGACCTTCTCATGATGGTCCAAAAGAGAGAATTAAAGGAGTTGTAATGGAAAAATAACAACGGGGAACTTTTACAAAACAGTACAACATTGTGTGTGTTGTGCTTTGTAGATGACAGTGATGACGACAAGGAAGTGAGTCGAAAGCGCACAGTGCGCCAGGCGGCTTCCAAGGCAGTGTCCAAACAGAGGGAGATCCTGCTGGGGGACGGAGGCAGCGAGGATGAGGAGCATGAAGAACAAGAGGAACCTTACATGGACCGTATGTACTGCTGCAACAATTTATTCAAAAAGAATTGTACTTATAATTTAATACTTAATAAGGTTTACGTCAGGTATATAATTCCTGCTATTACAGGAACTTGTAATTAAATCAATTACCTCACTGTGTAGAAACTGATGGATATATGTCTCTGTGTGCAGCCGATGAGTCTGGCAGCGATGAGGACTTCATGGTGGAGGACGATGATGACAGTGACTATGGTCGCTCTAAGAAGAGAAGCAAGAAGGTGATTCGACGGGGACGGCCAGACAAGAAAGAGAAGAAAAGCCCCAAACCCCGACTAAAGGCCACAGGTGAGACTTCCAATAACAGCCAAAGAGAATCTATCTATGTATTTAGTTGGTCCTGGCTAAACTTCTTGACACAATCACACTTCAAGGCTCAGAGGGGCAGGATCGAATTGTTATCGTGTTAGTTTATTATTTTCTGGCAAATCTGCTCAAGTTGCCTTGAGCTTGGTCAAACTATAGGTCTGGTTGATACAAGTTTCAGTAGATCATCACCAGACCCAACTTGTTTTTACCCGTCTTAGATTTGAGGATATTCCTTTTAGCATCTCTTAAGATTTGAATCATGTTAAATGTGTCTAAAATGTGGACAGACCTAGGCTGTTTCCTCTTTTATGCTAATTACTCCCTCTGTAGAATAAAGACCTTGATCATCAATAGTGAGACTGGACACGATGTGATGATGACTAACTGTTCTGTGGTTCTTCCCTGCAGTGACACCCAGCCCAATTAAAGGAAAGGGGAAGGGGCGCCCCAGCGCCAAGGCCCTGGAGAAGAGCTCACCCAAAGAGGAGGAGGAGGAGGACCCCGAGAGTCCCCTGGAGGAGGAAGAGGAGGAGGTTGAGAAGAAAGAGACCTCCCCTGCCCCCAAAACGACAAAGGAGGCCGCAGGAGGAGAGGAGGAGGAGGAAGATGAAGAGGAGGAGGATGGCTCAGAAGAGGAGGCACCCTCTGGAGAAGACTAGAAGATGGTACCTGTTTGACGCCCATCCTCCACGTCTCTCTCTCCGTCTCTTTTTTGCTTTTTTCAGTTTTTTGTTGTTTTTTTCCTCCTGGTGGCCTGGCTCAATAGTTTGGACTTGGTGTGCTTTTTCTTGTTTGCCCCACCCCTACCCTGCACCCCAACTCAGAAATTGTGCTCATGTAATCATTTATTGACAGTCAGCCCCTCCCTCCCTCTGTGTTCATCAATTCTTTCCTGGGTTTTAGTTTTAAAAACTCAGTCTCTGAGTTTCTGCCTTTTGAAGAGCTCAGTGCTTGTGAGCATCCGTCCTGATTGTGAACTCACAAGTTCACCAGTGTTTCTTTTACCCCTCTTCTAGGATCATCTGTGACAACTGGCCACACTATATTTTCCCTGTTCACTTTACTGATATATCACTGGGAGTATTCAGAGTTCCCCAGTATCAGAAACTAGAGCGCTGTATTTAAAAAGTCCACACACACACACACACACACACACACACACACACACACACACACACTTCCACACACACACACACACACACAGGGTTGAAGCCTTTACCCTCTCTGGTACTTGTGCTTTTAAACCAGGAGCATGTTTTAACAGGGCCACNACACACACACACACACACACACACACACACACACACACACACACACACACACAGGGTTGAAGCCTTTACCCTCTCTGGTACTTGTGCTTTTAAACCAGGAGCATGTTTTAACAGGGCCACTTTAGTTAGTTCTTATTTTAAACCTTTAAAACTGTTCTCTCAGCATCTTTTAATTTTATTTTTAAAGAACCCAACCTCTTTCAGACTATATCCATGCCCTGACCTCTCGTGTGGCTGTGTGGAGAATGAAGCGCATTATTTTTAAAAGTATTTCTCTTGTAGCTACAGCTTCTTAGATCAAACAGATCGCAGTGTGTTAGTGGCAGAGTGATGGGTCACTGCTGAGTGTTTGCTACTAGACCATCTGACACTATAACACATTTCAAGCCAACATGTGTGTTTTTATGTACTTGTTTAACTTCTTATGCCTGTGGGGAACTTCCTGTACGAGGGTATGGCTTCTTTTGTTTCTCTTGGCCCATAGGCTTGTGTGAAACGGTTTCTGTTGTTACATGTTTGGCTTTCGAATGATGCTACTTGAAGCATCCCAGTCCCTTTTTCGAAACACATCATCCTCCCCTCCCCGCACGGCTGCAGCTTCTTCTCATTCAACCTGTTGTGCCAGGCACCCCTATATCTTTTTTGTTGTTTTTATTTTTAAGAAATGCAAGAAGAGATGTTTTTTTTTTTGTTTTTTTTTTGTTCTTTGAGGGTTACAAAAATGAATGTTGTTTTTTCTCCTGTCGGTTCATTGTTCTAATTCTCTATTCAGATTTTTTTTGTAATGTTTGTTTTTTAAGAAAAGAAATAAAATGTATCTTGATTTTAAAGAAAAAAGTTGACCCTATCCAATCTGTTCTGCCTGATGGTTGGACCAGCCATCCTCCCTTTTCCACTCCTGTCCCTGCTCCTTTCTTTCTCCTGTGCCCTGCCTTACTGTTGGTATCCATGTCCATTTGTTTCCTAGAAGTTTTTGTTGCTCACGTTAGTGTTTCACATGCTGACATATTTCTAAAGAGTGGTACAGTACTGAGGCTCAGAAGGGTTGAAATGGTGAAGTGGGCAGTTCAGCATGTATCTGGCGTTCATTTGTCTATTAATGCCTTAATTTTCATTGAGTTGATTTTTTAGTAGTGGCTCTGATATCATCACTGGAGGCCTGAGAATGTAATCTGTCCTCGTGTTTTAGGTCTTTGCTACAAGCAGCAAATTAGGCTTAGAACAAGTCAACAATTTGTACGATCAGCATAACATCCAAAGCCATAAATGATCTCAAAACTAGTGAATCAGAGATCAGGTGCAGCACTTGTGAGATTGTCTTTTATTGCGAGTAGTGTTTGATGTCAAAGCAAAAAACAAAAAAAAAGAAAAAGTTACCTTAATGGTCTTGGGAACTAAACCTCATTTATTAGGCATTGGTCAGGAGTAATTGTGATTGGTCCCGAGGCTGCAACAGAAATCAGTCCTGGATGTGAACAGGACACACTCGAACCTAGTCCCTGGTTCAGAAGCACATTTGATTGTTTTATGACTGTCATTCAAAGGTTACTGTGTTTTTCTATATTCAGGTCCTAAATTGGCACCCAGTCCTTAATGTCATTTTAAGACAATTAGATACAAACAAGAAAATGCAAAAGTGGGAGAAAAAAACTTTGTTTATACCGATGTAAAGCTCGGAGAGCTCTGTTTGCAGTAGGATCAGACACTCTAGTTCACAGCAGTGAGGGCTTTGAGTGAGAGTCCTCGCCATCATCCCACTGGAGGCACATGGCATAAGGCTATGAATTTCTCCTTTCTCATCCATTCTACGACTTCTTCTGTTGTACTGTTTTTGATGTTTCTTTTCTATCTACCTTCCGTTGTACTGGCAATGTAAAAATGTACGCCAAGTTGTGATTCTTACAGAAGACCAAGTGGAGACGCTTTTTTTCAGTAGTGGATAAAGGAACGCTGAACTCTTGAATCTTTTGCATGTTGTGGAAAAAGTGGGAAGCGATGATGCAATGGCAATATTGTGGTCTTACAAAAAAAGTATTAACAACGATGATGTTTTGGTTTCCCAGCTTCTAATAAAGGCAACCTACTTTTTATACGGATTTAACTACTTGTTTTGTGACGTTGAGCTCTGTGTGCTGTACGGGTGGCGGCTGGGGAAGAACAATGAGCAAGAGGGTTTTGGCGTTAAATGATCTGCAGTACTCAGTGTCTGCCACTCAGTGGTGCTGCATGCACCAGCATGATGCAGTGTTTTTACATGCAGGATTCTGAGTTGATGAACAAACTGCAGACATACTGTTTATTTGCAAGACTCCTTATTGCTAAGGAAAAAATATATAACAATCAGTGCTTCACATATGTCTGTGGCACCTTTCTGAAACTCTGAACCTCAACTTACAAATTTAAAAGGTTTAAGAAGAGAGAAAAAACAGTATTTCATTGGTTAAACAAGAGGACGATGATCTGGGTCTTGAATTTTTCTTAATTTAAGTGCAACAAAATTACAATATTTACAACAATGATTAGAAGAAACAGTTTTTAGCAGAATGGAAAGGTGTGTCAAAGTTTAATTTATTTATACAAATGAAAATGTCTGATAGAGATGAAAGGAGCAGCAATGACAATTGAAATGGAGTTATTGCCAGTAGTAGAATATGTGAGTAGGCATATTGTATATCAAGCAGTCTCATATAGTCAATGATCCTCCACCACTATGATCCACCACCATGATCACAATCCATCATCACTATCCATTATCAAGATCCACCATCAGCTGCCACCACCATCACAATCCACCATCACGATCTCTGATTCGCCACCTAACCATGTGATGCTCCACATTCTCCACAACCCTCTATAATACACACCTTCCCAATTTGGCAGTCTATTCAAGTTGCAAATATTTCCCATCACTCCCTTTGCTTGCCCCGGTTGCATCAGTATTGGTGCTGGTTGGTTCAGCCCCCTCCACCACCCCAGCATCCAGCTGTAGGCTCAGACTGGGGGGTTACAAGTATTAGCTCATCACTCCCATTATATCTATGTAATCATATCTGGGGGAGGGATGAAGTTGGAGCCTGGACACCAAACACTTATTATGTTGTAGATATAGACATAAAGGCTGTAATAAAGATTTGTAACGTTGTACATCATAGTATAGTCTATACATCATGTAACAACACATCAATTCACATCAAAGTCTGTAGCACCAGCTACCAAGCTTGTCTGTAACCTCACTGTTTTTGACCAATAGGGCAAAAGTCAAAGTTCTGATATATTATTATACTTAATATAATTGTTAACATCAGTGTGTAAGTTGTAGCTGGGTTAAGGTGGAGCTCATTTTCATCCAGGTGAAGATTTTAGTCCAGTGTTTCCCAATAAGGCATCAGGTCCCTCCAAGGGTCATGTGATAAATCTGAAAAATTTAATTTGTATAACGCCATATCACAACATACATCATCTCAAGGCCACATGATAAGGTTGAGACCAATATTAAAGAAACAGTTGAAAACAACTCCCTGGATGGAAATCGAGGGAGAACAGAGATGGAGTAAAGGGAGGAGAAGGGGAGTGAGGAGAGAGACCATGAGCGGTTATGTAACTGTTGTATGTGAGAATTGTCAGACTGGTTGTTATAATGACATTCAATAGAGAGAATACCTCTGCCAAGGCCAAACATTCCCACACATTACTGTTTAATTATTATAGTAGAAAAATAAAAGAAGAGATGAAGTGATCTGATAACCAAGATTTTTTTATTTGTCATGAAGTATAGTTGAAGAGAGTGAAAAAGAGTCCTGGCTCCATCCCTTAATCTGCATCCACAAACAAACTGAATGGTTTCTTCAGGCACCAGTTCTGCACCAAGTTTGTTTCTAATTGGTCCTGGAGATTTTGGGCAGAGTTAATAATAATAGTGATACTTTTTGATGTGATAATTGTATACATTGATATATTTTTATATATCAATAAAAATATATTTGGGAACAACACGCACATCGAATTAAAAATGTGGTGGGATAAACAAAATAGCAAAGAACTTTTGGAAATCTACAAAAACCTTCAAACCAAGCTTGTCAGGAATCCAGTGAAGTAGGAAAAGTGTAGGAAATAAAACAAATTCTCAAACTATCACAGGTTGGCTGTCACACCGCCATGAGATGGCATTTCCACCCACAGGTTCCACAGAAAACACGGTGGCTCACACACACACACACACACACACACAAACACACGGCTGAGCTTTAGAGAGATGTTGTGATTTGACTGGGTGAGTTGCTGCTGGCACTTCTACCCCTCTGTTCCTCGAGGAGACACCAAAGAGCTTTCATGAGGCAAGTGAAGCAACTGAGTTGTGTATTAACATATTAATATGAAAAGTGTGTCTGAGAATGAATGTTATCATCTGACGAGTGACCAGTGTTGGTTATAATTACAGTCAGTTACAGAGTACACATTTTTTGGAAATGGCACGTTTTGGAATCAGTTATGTAATCCATTAAATGACAAAAAGTTTAACTCTACTCTGAAAACTTCAGGATCACAAATTGAATATTTGGCATTTTACAAGCAAGCAATATAATTTTAATTCTACTGAAACATCTCAAAATGTATCCAATGCAAAATAAAACGTTTTGCATATTCAGTATTTGCATTTGTTCAAATGAAATTACTCATCCTGAAAACTTTTACTACAATTCTTTAAAATGAAATCTGGGCAGATTATTACTTATTAAGTAATCCTGATTACATTTAGTCTGTTACCACTTCCAAATGTGTTTTATTTTTAATTAAAAATGTTTTTACTTGGACCTTCAAGATGATCTAATCACATGTTAAAGAAAAATAAAATGGATGTTTGATATACAAAATGTCAAAGGTCAACTTCACTGTGTATTCATAAGGTTCTGCAAAACATTTGAATGCAGTATGTAACACTTCTGCA